CATATAGGTGATTCACTTTGTTATACAGCAGAAACTAACACAACATTGTAAAGCAATTATACTCCAATAAAAAAAAAAAAAAAAAAAAAGAAAGGGGAAGGGACTGGCCCAAGGTGACCAGCAGGTCAATGGGAAAGCTGGGTAGAGAATTCTGGGGTGACACCATAGGCCCCAGCAGTTGCTTTAGCAACTTTAGCTCTGTTATTGGAAAAAACTTTAAAAAGCCAAATGGTCCAGTCCCCAGTTGTACCTAGATACCAACTGGCTCTAAGGTTCAAACTGCCCACCTCCACTGTAAGTAGGTGTGTGGCCTTGAGCTAGCTGCTTAATCTTCCTATGCCTCAGTTTCTTCCTCTGTAAAATGGGGATAATAACACCTACCTCAAAGGATCAAAAAAGTTAAGATATGTAAAACTTATACTTGCAGCACAATAAATGTTAATTAGTATCGTTATTCTCTCCTTCATCATTGACAGGGATGAAGAGGAAATACCTCTCTTGGGTTATTACTAAAATAAAACCATCAGCCATTATTTACTGAGGATCTACATTAAGAACTTTTTTTTCTTTTTAAATCTATTTATTTATTTATGGCTGCATTGAGTCTTTGTTGCTGTGCGCGGGCTTTTCTCTAGTTGCGGCGAGCGGGGGCTACTCTTCGTTGTGGTGCGCGGGCTTCTCATTGCGGTGGCTTCTCTTGTTGAGGAGCACGGGCTCTAGGCACACGGGCTTCAGTAGTTGTGGCACGTGGGCTCTAGAGAGCAGGCTCAGTAGTTGTGGCGCACGGGCTTAGTTGCTTCACGGCATGTGGAATCTTCCCGGACCAGGGCTCGAACCCATGTCTCCTGCATTCGCAGGCAGATTCCTAACCACTGCGCCACCAGGGAAGCCCACAAGACTTCATTTAAAGCAATGTAAGGTTCACAGGAAAATTGAGGGGAAGGTACAGAGATTTCCCATATGCCTTTGCCCCGACCACATGCATAGTCTCCCACATTACTAACATTCCAACCAAAGTGGTACGTTTATTACAATTGATGAACCTACAATGACACAGCACCATCCTCCAGATTCCATAGTTTACATTAGGATTCACTCTTGGTGTTGTATATTCTATGGGTTTGTATGCACTTTTAATATAATCCTCACAATAACCTCACAGGATGGATATTATTCACCCCCATTTTACAGAGGAAGGTACTGTGGCTCAAAGAGTATAAATGAGCTGCTCAATCTTCTGGAAGCTTTCAGGTCCCTCATTTGACTAGAGCTGCTTCCTGAGTGCTTGGTCACAGCCAAGTCCATAGCAGCACTGGGTATCAGGTTCTCAGTGATGAAAGCCCTCAAAGGGCTCAGTGTCTGTCGCCAGTAGCAGACAAGGAAAAGTTTGTGGTAGGACTAATTGTTCCACAGATCCATTCTCCTCCTCTTCCTGGCATGTGGCCTCCCAGCTAGAGATGACATTTCCCAGTGTGCCTTGCACCTAGGCGTGGCCAAAGGGTGAGAGCAGAAGTAATGTGAGAATTTCCGGGTCTTGGATTTAAAGCACTGGGCCGGGAACCTCTGTTTCCCACCGTTCCTATAGGCTACAGCGTGGATCAACAAGCAGACAGGATCGATATTCTAGGGCAGAGATTTCTGCGTTCTGCAAAACCACGGAATTAGCCTTGAGATCTTTCTAGTTTACAGATTCTGTCTTGTGATGAGAAAAAAAAAACCTCAGCATTATTTTTGAAACTCATGTGCTGTGCGATGCCAGCGCTTTCAGTGATGGACAGTAATCGAGCAGCCTCGGAAACCATTTGTGAAACGTTGTTCAGCCCCGTCTGCAGTGCTCATTGGGTGGGGCTTTGCTCAGTTTTCAGCGTGAGATCAGGAAGTCTGTCGATCATGTGTGAACACGGTATTGCCCGGATAGGAGGTGGTAAAGACGGTGACCTCAGCCTCGCCCTCCTGCTTACCTCCCTCCACCTCCCCTTAGACGCAGATGACTGCGCCCTTAGGGGCGCAAACACTCTTTCTGGTGTGATAGAAAATCAGAGGAAATTTTTCTTCTAAGGAGATCATTTTTGCCTCGACGTAGCGGCCTCCCTGCCACTTTGCTGTTGATGCGAACACTGTAAAACATGAATTATGCAGGTTAGAAGTGAATTTCAGCATGATTTCATATCTTGTTGCAAGTTTTCTGTTTAGTTATATATGATGCCCTTCTATTTATGTCTTATTAGCGTTTGTGTTTTACAAATGTGTCTGGCGATTCCACGTGATGCTGTTTTATCATAAGGTGTGAAGTGAAAGAGGAGGACCTTAGGACTGTGGACAAATCTGGTAGGGTTAGCGATGAAGAATTGCAATTTACAAGTGTAGCAATGGCTTCAGGAAAATTGAAGAGAACTAAACTACAAATTACAGCCATTTGACAAATAAATGTGCTAATTTTTAACCTATCGTATCTCAAAACAAATAGGGTAAGGCTTTTATAGGCTACATTTAGTACAAAGGCTCAAAGAGCAAGTTATTTGTAACAGACCAATTGTCCAGAAAAAGAACCCAATAATGCTGGCATGTAAAATTATATGAGTGACGTGTTAGCGCAAGATGCTCATCAAAAGAGTATAAGTGTTCTACTCTCAGAGAGAGTGACAACACAACGTATTGATGTCACGTGATGCTGAAGAACTTTTTTTTTTTCTTGGTAATTAGCTGAAAAACAACAGATTCTTTATCCAGGCTGATGAGTCAACAGATTTCACTGATAAATGCCATGTTTTTAGAAGTGGCACTGATAAATGCCACTTCTAAGATTTGTAAATGATTCTGGTAATCAAGACTTTTTTTTTTTTCCTGCGGCAAACAGCTTTTACATAGAAACAGCCAAGATATGATTAATGTTTTCTTCATATCTAGAATCAAAAGGTCTGTCTTGGAAGAACTGTCTTGGCATTTGAACTGATGGTGTTTCCATCAAAAGTTGGCTCCATAAGAGTTTTCACTGCTGTTATAAAAAAACAAAACCCGGACTTCCCCAGCAGTCCAGTGGTTAAGACTTCATGCTTCCACTACAGGCGGGGGTTCAGGTTCGATCCCTGGCTGGGGAAGATCTTGAATGCCCCGTGGCGTGACCAAAAAAAAAAAAAAAAAAACCAACCAAAACCCAACAAACAAAAGGGGGGTTCAGGTTGGATCCCTGGCGGGGGAAAATCTTGAATGCCCCGGGGCGGGACCAAAAAAAAAAAAAAAAAAACCAACCAAAACCCAACAAACAAAAACCTATTGTTGCCACACACACTACTTTCCTTACAGGGAGGTACAGGTGTCACAAACTCTTGGAGATGAAAAAAAGAATGCTGCTGCAAAATGGTTAACTTGATGAAACAAAGACTTAACTTAAGCATGTTTAAGTGACTGGGCTTCCCTGGTGGTGCAGTGGTTAAGAATCCACCTGCCAATGCAGGGAACACGAGCTCAAGCCCTGGTCTGGGAAGATCCCGCATGCCGTGGAGCAACTAAGCCTATGCGCCACAACTACTGAGCCACAACTACTGAGCTCGCGTGCCACGACTACTGAAGCCCACACGCCTAGAGCCCATGCTCCGCAACAAGAGAAACCACCGCAATGAGAAGCCCACGCACCACAATGAAGAGTAGCCCCCACTCGCTGCAACTAGAGAAAGCCCGTGCACAACAACGAAGACCCAATGCAGCCAAAAAAATTTTTTTTTAATAAAATAAAACAAAACAAAAAACTGTGACTATGGGGAATTCCCTGGCAGTCCAGTGGTTAAGACTCCACAGTCTCACTGCTGAGGGTGCGGGTTCCATCCCTGGTCAAGGAACTAAGATCCTGCAAGCCACATGGTATGGTGTGCGTGGCCAAACCACTCCCCCAAACCAAAAAAACCCCTGTGATTATGATCCAACAAGTCCACTTCTGGGTATGCACCAAAAGAATTGAAAGCAGGGATTCAAACAGGTATTCATACACCCCTGTTTGTAACAGCATTATCCACAACAGCCAAAAGGTGGAAACAACCCAAATGTCCATGGACAGATGGAGAGATAAGCCAAATGTGGTCCATAGATAAAATGGAATATTATTCAACCTTAAAAGGAAGGAACTACTGACAACATACTACAACAT